AAAACCACAGTGATGGCGATATGTGAAAAGGGAACAGGAGCCAGCTGAAAGTGCTCCCATTGGCCAAAATTGGAACAATTTGAGCAACAAAATAAATCAAATAGTATAGGATTGGCCAGGCATAGTGGCTTACGCCTGTAATCCCAGCACTTTGGGAGGCTGAGACGGGTGAATCACGAGGTCAGGAGATCAAGACCATCCTGGTTAACACAGTGAAAACCCATCTCTACTAAAAATACAAAAAAATTAGCTGGCATAGTGGTGGGTACCTGTAGTCTCAGCTACTCTGGAGGCTGAGGCAGGAGAATGGTGTGAACCCAGGAGGTGGAGGTTGGCAGTGAGCCGAGATCACGCCACTGCACTCCAGCCTGAGCGACAGAGCAAGACTGTCTCAAAAAAAAAAAAAAAAGTATAGGATTATCCTCAAAGTATAAAATAAAAATCTATCAGTTCATCCTGTATGCGTAAATAATATCCTTTTTTCTTTTTTTTGTAGACAGGATCTCACTTTGTCATCCAGGCAGGTTACAATGGCACCATCTCAGCTCACTACAGCCTCAAGCTCCTGGGCTCAAGTGATCCTTCTGCCTCAGGCTCTGGAACAGCTGGGAGCACAGGCACATGCCACCAAACCTGGCTAATTTTTGTATTTTTTTGTGGGTTTTGCCATGTTGCCCAGGCTGTCCTTGAACTCTTGGGCTCAAGCAATCTGCCCGCCTCAGCCTCCCAATGTGCTGGGATCACAAGCGTGAGCCACCACATCCATCTTGATACACATAAATTATTGAATAATGAAACAAATCAAAAAGAAGAGATCAAGCTCCTGTGCGGAAGAATTCTACGTAATTTATGTAACTATTCCACCCTCAGAAGTGGAGCACAACTCCCATTTTCAAGCTTTGGCTACGCATACAGACTTCCTTCCACTAAGTGTCAGCTATGTATAGTGACTTCCTTCAAAAGGATACAGTATAAAATGAGGTTAAAAAAAAAAAAAAGAGTAACTGTACAGTGGAGAAACTTGACAAAGATTATCTCAGCCAGGCGATCAAGATCAACATTAAGGGGGATGTCACGTAGGGCCAGACGTGGTGGCTCACACCTGTAATCCCAGCACTTTGGGAGGCTGAGGCAGGTGGATCACCTGAGGTCAGCAGTTCAAGACTAGCCTGGCCAACATGGTGAAACCCCGTCTCCACTAAAAATGCAAAAAATTAGCAGGACACGGGAGCAGGCACCTATAATCCCAGCTACTTGGGAGGCTAAGGCAGGAGAATTGCTTGAACCCGGGAGGCAGAAGGTGCAGTGAGCTGAGATTGTGCCACTACACTCCAGCCTGGGCAACAGAGAGAGACTCAAAAAAAGAGTAATGTCATGTTGATATTATGTACCCTTGATATGACGGCATGAAAATGGTACTTTATGTTCATGGTCTTGCTCCAAAAACCATATAATCTCAACCTAATCACAAGGAAAACATTATATAAACCCCAAGTAATGGACAATCTAAAACTACCTCTCCAGTAGTCACCAAAACCATCAAGTTCATCAAAAGCAAGGAATGTCTGAGAAACTGTCACAGCTAACAGGAGTTTCGGGAGACATGAGAACTAAAGGTAATATGGATTTCTGGATGGGATCCTGGAATAGAAAAAGGAGCTTAGGTGAAAACTAAGGAAATCTGAATAAAGTATGAATTTTAGTTAATAATAATGTATCTTTCTCTTTTTTTGTTTTTCCATTTTGTTTTTGTTTTTTGTTTTTTTTTGAGATGGAGTTTCACTCTGTCACCCAGGCTGAAGTGCGGTGGCACAATCTCGGCTCACTGCAACCTCTGCCTCCCCAGTTCGAGTGATTCTCCTGCCTCAGCCTCCTGAGTAGCTGGGATTACAGGTGTCCACTACCACGACCGGCTAATTTTTGTATTTTTATTAGAGATGAGGTTTCACCATGTTGGCCAGCATGGTCTTGAACTCCTGACCTTGTGCTCCACCCGCCTCGGCCTCCCAAAGTGCTGAGATTACGGGCGTGAGCTACCGCGCCTGGCCTCGTTTTGCTTTTTTCATGAATTTTTTAAATTTAGTAGTCCATGGCATTGAACTTAGATTTGTTCAAGTGTAGGACAAGATAGAAGAATGGTTTACTATTTAATAAGATGTCATGATTGTAAGCCTGAAGGCCTTCAGTCTGATATGATCCTAATCAGAAAATTGCTTCATATTCTTGCAAAAGAGAAAACTACCTATTCTAAGCAGATATGTGTAAGTGAACTGGAATCAGAAGAGATTCAAATTGGTAAGACTAACTCAGAATTTTGCAATAATGCAGGTGAAAGATATCAGAATGCCTATGAAATCTTTTTTTGCTTGAGGCTTTTTATGTCTTTTTGTCTTTGGCATTTAATATTTGTAATGACAGACATATCTTCTAACTATCTTTTTTCTTAACATGAAGTCCTTGCTAACTCATTAAAATTTGGGAGCTTCTGCAGTATATAATATGTTTATATACAATAATACCACTTAGCTAACCTTGATAAAGAGCTTAAGAGAGGGTTAATTGTTACTTGGGGAAAGAGTAAAAACTATTCTCTGAGTATCAGTACCATGTAAGTAACTATTGCATTGCAGCAAAACCAAATGTTTACTTTCCTATGTCTTCTTTGTCAGATCGAATTGTAAACTTTGATTGCAGGGATTGTATCTTACATTTATTTGTCTCCAGATTAACATTTAGCTTACTGCCTTACCCGATGCTCCATGCATTGTTGCTGATTTTGGCTTTATAAAATAGTCATCATTTTCAGAGAGAAAATTTAAAGGAGTGACACCTTGTAGTAGCAAAAAACAGAGTCTGTGACTCAAATATTAAAATCTCAGGATTGATTAATGTATCTCCATTCTAAACAATGGGATTTTTAATTGCCAATTAGAATAATTACCAACTTTTAAATGAAGATTTACTATGGACCAGCCACTGTGGTAAGTGCTTTAAAATGCTCAATATTATCTCATTTAATCCTCTTAACAATGCTTTAGTTGGCTATTATCATTATTCTCCTCATTTACAGATGAAAAACAGGCTTAAGGAAGTTAATGGTGAAATAATTAGTTAATTACATTTTATTAATGCATTCTTTCTTAGTATAAAGCCTACAAGTTTATTTTCTAACTAATCTTTATTTTCTTTTCTGTGAACTCAAAATGTCTTAAATTGTCTAAGTTTGTTACTAAATACAGGCTTTCTTAAATTACTACTGCTCTTCCTTAAAGAAGATGTTAGTATGATTCTAGTAAAAAGCAAGTTATCTTATCAAGAACTAGAAATCAGCTGTCCTATTAAATACAAGACCATCATTTAATGCTTTAATGTGTGTATATTTAAAACAAATGAACATGCTTTTTCTGATTTAGGCTATGGAGTTATACAAATCTAAATTTGTTAATTATATCTTCAATATAACTATCAACCACATAGTATTTATAAGATGAATTTGAATATGAAAACAATTATTCTCTCCATATCAACGTAATAATATATTTGTATCCTCATAATCTGGTTTATATTTGCTCTGACACTCTATTTTTATGACTGGATTTGTCTTTTCTGAGATTTAGTGTCCAACAATTGATAACTCATTACTGTACACTTGAGACTTCTCAGGAAGATTTACCATATAGATGGCAACCACTATTTGAACACGGTCATAAGTTTATGGACATATCATATTAGAAGTTACAAGCATTTCCCGAAAAATCTCACATCCTCCAAAACTGCACGAAATACGACACGATGTATGGGGAAAATGGAATTAGGAGCAGTAAACTCAAAACTTTGCAGTCAAAGAACTAATGAGACCAATAACGGTCTTGAAGAAAACATTATACAGTTAAAAACACATGCTAAATTTTTACATAAACAAAACAACACTACAGAATATATAAGACATTACCTTAAGAAAAAATGATAGTAGCTTGACAGAAGTGGATACAAGGAAAGTTGAGGCTGCTAAATGACAGAGATGAGAAAACTGAATAAGATGTGAGAGTATCACTCTCTATAGGTACATCCAAGACAGAGCGCAGGGCCAAACAAGTAAGAGGAAACCTGAGTGTGAAAATACAAAACTGGGCTCCTCTATGGCTTGCTGCTTTCAACCCTGCACTTACTTTCCAATTTGCTGCTGTTACTGTACTTAAGAGCGCAAAGCATTAACATGCTTGAAAAACTGATATACTATTTTATTCACATTATTTCTCGATTTTTCCATCCCATATGAGCTAATTTTGCTAATTCTCATTTCAAAAATACATATCATAGCCAAACAAACCTAACCTGAAGAGATTACCTTTGCCGCTCATCTCTAGATTAGTGAATACACATCCAATGTATTAATTATTTACTAGATTTTAATCATTTAAAAATATCTTATAAATAAATTAAAACCTTATTATATGGAGCCTTAATTTATTATACCCACAACATACATGTTAAGATCAGATTTGGAAGAATAAGATAGCCATTAGATTTTCTCATTGTTTCCTTGGGGTTTCTTGTGTATTCAGTTTGGGATTTTTAACACTTGAAAAATTTTTAGACACGCTTTTTACCCCATTTTAAGCCATAATTTCAGGTTTATCTAAGTAACTTTTAAGCTGTAATTAAAGTGGGTTTGAAATAAATGGCTTCAACATTTTATTAGTCCTGTTATGTGCTGCCAAAGGTACTTTTTATTTCACTGAAATTAAAACTTTTCATGAAACAAAAATACAGTTGTTATATAGTTATTTTTAACTTTTTAATGTGCTTTCACACTTACCATTTTATCAGAAGTAACTATCCTCTGGAGAGTCTGAACTATACACCAGATCTACTTCTGCTACAATTTCCCTAATAATGAGTCCTTGGATCCTCAGTATGAAAATTATTTTTTCAAGGTAAATTATTTTTTATGGCAACATTTTATCCAAATAATTTCATTCTCACCTCAATTTTCTCACCTTAAGTTAGTTTAAGGGCACAGATGTTACCTTTATGAGCTAGGTTTCCAGGTTCCTTGACCGTTCAAAGTTGTTTATTTTTTAATCTCCAGACAAGTATACTTCTTTTCCAGACTTTAATCTCTTCTTCTCCGGAAATCCACTTCTCTGCTTCATTAAGCCTCCCTGTAATATCCAGAATTAAATCTCATACCTCATTTATTGTTGTGGCTGTGGGTTGCGTTTTTTCTCCCTGCAACACTGGAAACGACTTTGAAAGGAATGACCTGAAGTTTTCATCATTCAATTTATAGTAATTTTTACTTCTAGATAGTTGTGGAATAAGAATTCATTTAACCTAAAAAAGAGAGAGAGAGAAAAAATTCATTGAAAGTATTGGGAAAGGGGAAAGAAGGGCAATAATGGCTTTCTGCTAATAATCAAAGGGATTTGTCATGTGAAGAAATAGTATTTTTCTGTATAGTTTTCAAGATAGAGCCAGGACCACTTGGGAAAATTCGTAAAATGCACAAGACTTCTTATCAAATGAGTTTATGAGTCTGAATCCATTTTAAGTCTTTCGTGTGTTTTTTTTTTTTGTTTTTTTTTTTTTGAGGAAAACTCTCACTCTGTTGCCTCGTCTGGAGTGCAGTGGCGCAATCACAGCTCATTGCTGCCTCAACCCCCTGGGCTCAAGCAGTCCTCCCGCTTAACCTCCTCAGTAGCTGGGACCACAGGTGTGCACCACCACAGCCAGCTAATTTTTTGTAGAGACAAGGGTTTCCCTATGTTGCCTAGGCTGATCTTGAACTCCTGGTTTCAAGCAATCCTCCCACCTCAACCTCCCAAATTGCTGGGATTACAGGTTGTGAGCCCTCTGTGAGATTCTGACTAAAGGCCAATTACAGCAAAACAGAATCCTGCGGTGCATTAGAACAAAGACAATGAGGATGAATGAACCAGGTTCAAGTCCAGATTCTGCTGCAGGCAAACTTGTATGACATTGGGTGAGTTTTTTAACTTCTCTTTGCCTCAGTTTCCTTGCCTATAAAATGAGATTGAAAGTCGTGTCATAGAGTTTTTGTAAGGATTAAATTAATGTATCTAAAACATGCCTGACAACCTGTAGGCATCATCTGTTAACTCTAAATATTAAGCTATTTTGTAAGAATTTCTGTGCTCTTCTAAATTTTTTGGAATTGGAGAATAAAATGTAAGGCAGCCTACGCTTCTGAAAATTCTTCCTTTCACTTTCCATAAGTACAGAATACATTTTCATGAAAACGCACAGATTCTCAAGAACAGGGACCTTTGATTTGTTCAATGCTGATTCCCAAGCAGTAGGAACAGCTAGTCTGTAGTAGGTGCTCAGTAAATATTGAGGAGCCCTAATTAGGGAAAAGGAATCAGGCTGGTGGAGGTAGCAAGGGAAAGTAAGGAGATAAAACAAATAAGCTATAAGTCTGCCTGTCTTCATGGTCCAGGACCTATAAACAAAAGAGGAAGCAGATGAGCTATAGGTCTGCTTTTCTTTATGGCCCAGGATAGATGGTCCTCCTGCACAGATAACATACATAACTCACAAACTTCCTGCTTACCATCAGATGCCTCAATTTATCTAATGCCTTGGCTGACAGAAGAATGCAATTTAAGCTCTCTGCTGCCTTGGCATTATCAATCTACCCAAGAACCATCCTATAAAATCTCCAGCAAGCCTTTGTTTCCTTGCAGTCAGCCTCTCTTCTGCTGGTCTGCCCATTGCCTTCTCACAAGATAGTTTCCTACTTTCTCTAATAAATCTGTGTTTCTTTACTTACAACTGCCTTGGTAAATTCTATTACCCCTGCACCACTGGCCCAGCTAGTCATCACTCACCCATGACAAAAATATATTGAAGAAACAGATGAAAATGTCCAATTGCCTCACATTTTGAAGAATAAATAGATGTATTTAGAAAGGTTATACCATGATAATTCCATTAAACCAAAATGAAGGCCTTGTTTGTCATAATCAGGACACTCAAAAAAAAAAAAAAAAAAAAAGTCCTCAAAGTCAGGAAATGTCTAATTTCTCTGTTTTTCTTCTTTTAAAATCTACACTGGGCCAGGCATGGTGGCTTATTCCATCATTTTGAGAGGCCAAGATGGGAGGATCATTTGAAACCAAGAGATCGAGACCACCCTAGGCAATATCGTGAGACCCCATCTCTACAAAAAAAATTAAAAATTAGCTGGGCATGGTGGTGTGCACCTGTAGTTACAACTAATTGGGAGTCTGAGATGGGAGGATTGCTTGAGTTTAGGAGTTTAACGCTGCAGTGAGCCATGATCACACCATTGCACTCCAGCCTGGGTGACAGAGCGAGACCCTATCTCAATCAAGCAAGCAATCAATAATCTTCACTGGAAATGATCCCTTGATGTATTAGTTTGTTTTCACACAGCTGATAAAGACATACCTGAGACTGGGCAATTTACAAAAGAGGTTTTTTGGACTTACAGTTAGTTCCACGTGACTGGGGAAGCCTCAAAATCAAGGGAAGGTAAAAGGCACATCTCACATAGTGGCAGACAACAGAAGAGAGCTTGTGTAGAGAAACTACCCTTTTTAAAACCACCAGATCTTGTGAGACTTATTTATTATCAGGGGAACAGCAGGGGAAAGATCTGAGCCCATGATTCGATTACCTCCCACCAGGTCCCTCCCACAACGCATGGGAATTCAAGATGAGATTTGGGTGGGGACACAGTCAAACCATATCCCTTGATAAGTGATATGTGACACTTTTCTATTCTTGGCATTTTAAACATCAGTGTGAGTCTTTTGGTGAGAGGGCAAATATATGGAGCACAGACCAGGTGCAGAGCACAGACCAGGTCCACAGTAAGAAGGCTCCAGAATTTTTATTTAAATGATAACAAACCAGATTAGTATATAATATGAACCCTGTAAACCACGTGTTTCACTATCAAATGATCAAGGAGTAAACATTTTAAGTGCATTGATGGTTTGGTAGATCTTGGCATGGTCTAAGGTGTGTGGTTTTCTGCTGTGAATGGATGACTAAAATCTACTCCAACTGGATTATTACTGTTTCCCCAGCCCCTACCACTCCTTTATGGATCCCACCCATGGCAAAGGAATTAGCTCATTTCCAAATAAAAATTAGATAATTAGTTTGACGTATCAACAAATGTACAAACTGCATAAAGTTTCTCCTATTAAATCTTTCAAAATCTGCACATAATACCACAAAATTTACATCTTATACTGTGTGAATGACCATGTTAGTGTCATCAATACTCAGATACTTGTACCTGAATGAGGTTCAAGATGGGACTAGGAAATCTTAGAAAATATCAGCAAAATATCAACCACTCAAAAGACCTAGGTTTATTCTTTCATTTACTATGACTTGGACCCACTATTTATACCCTCTAAATTTCAGTTTACTCATTTAAAACACAAGAATGCTAATCCCACCTTATAGAAATATTGTGTTAAATGAGATAATGTATGTAAGAAAACTGCCACATAAAAATATTAAGAAAAATGTTATTGTGAATAATAATACTATTTATGATATTCACCAATTTATTAAAAATATTTACTGAGGACTAAACATACATCAGGCACTGCTCCACCCTGTTGATACTAAGATGCATTCATTTGACTCTAGAGAAAAATAAACTCTTTTTTTTTTTTTTTTTTTTGAACAGGGTCTGGCTCTATCCCCCAGGCTGGAGTGCAGTGGCACCATCTCAGCTCACTGCAACCTCGGCTTCCCAGGTTCAAGTGATTCTCATGCCTCAGCCCCCCACCAAGTAAATGGGACTACAGGTGCTCAACACCACACCTGGCTAATATATATATATATAATATATATATGTATATATGTGTGTATATATATGTATATATACATGTCAGTGCAAAATAATTTTAATCAAAGGATTGTATATTTTCTTCCCACATATCCTGCCTGGTATTAGGAAATGACATTATGATCTATTTCATAACAAGTAAAATATTACAAAATATTTTACAGGAAAATATTAAAAGTAACCCAAACACAAAAGGCAAGATGAAATAAACTGGCTTTTCAGAAATCTCTACTCCAGTGTCCACAGCACATAAGAAGACAGTCAAAACAAATAAGCAACTAAGATCCTCCTGATCACAAATTTCCAAAGGGGAAGAAACAGGATGAAGATAGTCGTGTGAAAGGGAATGGATTTTAGCAGCACTGCTTCAATAACTGATCTATTCTGAATGAAATACCCTCTTGTATGTGCAGCAAATTCTGAAAAAGGCTAAATTTTAGGATATTCCTTGAACTGAAATTAGAAAATACCCTGACAATGGAAGCAGCTCTTTCATCTAAGTTTAAAAAGGGCCTCTTTCTCCATGGGCTACTGTTGTGAACAGAGGCCTGTTCTGGCATCAAAAGCTGTCACAGTAGCCCTTCCATCTCTTTCATGAAAGCCTCATAGACATCATCCTTAGTTTGTACTGAGACAGGAACAGAAGGACCAGATTTGGGTGCTGCTTTGGCAAGAGGCACAGGAGAATTATCCTCTAACTTTCTTTGTGAAGCAGCAGTAGCCCTTTTTTTCTCCCGACATACTCTCAATGCAGTGGGCACAAATCGAGTAATCTCTGCCTTGGGATTAGTGATCTGTGGCTTGGCACTGATGTTTCTTGTGGCTTTCTTCTCAGTGGTGGCTGCACTTGTATCATCTACCTTGGGTCGCTGAATCAAGTTGGGTGGGGGCACTTAAAACCCCAGGGTTTGGCAAAGGAGCTGGTGGCAAAAGTCCAGGGCAGGCAGATCCCAATGGGAGGCACCAAAGGTGGGTGCATCATGCCAGGACAAAATACACTTGCGTTAGTAAGTATATTTGCTCTTGTATTTGGTATTTGGACTAAAAGCCAAAATGAGCTTATGGTGAAGCCTACAAACTCCAGGAATACCTGGAGATGCAGGGGGAGGTATCCTTGGTGGGAGTCCCCGAGGAAGGGGACCAGGAGGCAGACCTGGAGGTGGACGCAGGAGAGGTAGTAAAAGTCGGTGGTCATGGAGGTAAAAGTCAGGGTAAAGGCCGAGTCCTGGCATTCCAGGTAGTCTCAGGAGGAGCTCCTGGAGGTGGTCCAGGAGGAAGGTCCATAGGTGGCCTAAGAGGCCGTAATGGTGAAGCAGGTGGTGGTCCAAGAGGTAGTGGTCCTGGCATGGGTGGTGCTTGTATCTGAGAAGGAGGAACAGACTGAGGGGGAGTCTGCTGTTGTAAAGAAGCAGTGGATGTGCCATCAGAATGCGATTCCTCTTTATGCTGTTTTTATGATTCCTTTTCTGCTTCAGAG